TTTGAGAGTAGGTTCAGGCTGGACATTAGAAGGAACTACTCACAGTCAGGGCGGCTAGGACCTGGAACCAACTTTCAAGGGAAGTGGTGCTCGCTCCTACCTTGGGGGTATTTAAGAGGAGGCTTGATAATTACCTAGATGGGGTCATATAAGCCCAGTATTCCCTCCTGTCCAGGGAAGGGGGTCAGACTTGATGATCTACTTAGATCGCTTCCAACCCTACATCTATGAATCTATGAATCTATGAAATGTAATGAAAACTAGCAAACAAAACCTGAGAACAGATGGGAAATGTTAAGGGATCTGCTTCATTCTCTTGGCAGTGGGCATTATAGAAGTATTATACAATCCCTAGAAAAGCTACAGTAATAACCAGAAGACTGAAAAAGGAATTGCCTTTGTGCTAACCTTTTGTACTGAACCTTGCAACCCTGGAAAGTGGCACAGGAAACCAAAAGGAAAAATTCCTAATTTTAGACAGAAAATATTGGGGATCAGGGTCACAAGCCAATGGGCTAGGAAGAGCTAAAAAAACAGATAAACATTAACATTAAAGTACAGACATTTAATGGCTAAATAACACATCACAAGCAATAACAATGTGGTATCTTCACTCAACTTGGTTCCCTCCCACACCTCTGGAAGCGCTCCAACCAGCCTCCAATCCTGAGAGCACCCAACTGATTTCTGCCCATCCGAGTTCTGCTGCTGCAATCCAACACTACTGCTTCCATGACTCCTCTGTAGTCTTCAGGCATCTTATCATCTGCCGCTGAGTCCTGTGCTTTCTGCCGCTTCTGGTTCCTCCTCCTTTGTCTCTCAGCATCCAGGGTCTCTGAGAGCTGTAGTTTTCATCCAGTTAGCAGAGTTTTCACAGTTCAAATTCAGTTAGCAGAGCAGATCCCACTGCTGTCACACATATATATTATGATTAGCTTATACAATACATTGCTCCCTCTTTCTGCCCAGCAGAGCTTGCACACTAAACTAAGATGTTGTTGTAGAAAATCTGAAGAGACAAAAGATTTCTTGACTTTTACAGAGGCCCCGGATGGCCAACAATATTTTGAAAAACATAGTAGTTTCCTATGGCTACATTTTTTGACCGATGTCTTAATTCTGAAACACACCTGCTTGTCAAAGATTTCTTCTTTGGAGTCAAGTCCTGACTTCCCAGCATTATCCCAGCTCTACCCTTCCCTGACAGCTCTGCCCTCAGACCACTCTGGCTCCAGTCTCTTTGCAGCCTGCGTTCTCCACTCACCATTAGACACTTCCATGAATGCAGGTGACGCCTTCATTTAGCACAAGTTGCAAATCAATATGGCTATGAATCCCACCCAATCAGGACTCAGCAGTGAAGTCTGAATCACCTGGAGCTCATTGGCTGTTCTTTACACTACCTTTTCTGGGTATGTTTCTACTCCCTTTTACAGTGGTTTTGAGTTTGTGCAGCTTTCCGCAGCTGAATTTTGAACTGAAGGTTATTGCTGTGCCCATTAACGAACCACTGGGCTTATTACTATAATAGCATCATCTGATTGTCACAAGTATGGACAGATTTATTTTTAGAGTTATGTGACACACACCTGATACCACACATAGAGTTACCCAACTGTGTATGCAGTAGTATCTGCCATCGGGGAGATCTTGATATACTTGCTTTCTTTTCTATTAGTTGATAGAGGAAAAGACACTTAAGGTTGGGCTGAATTCACACCTGGTTGATGTCAATACAAAGACTTCTATTCATTTCAATAGGCTTTAGACTCATTTTTACATGTGCTCCAGGGGTGAGGGGGACCCTTTAATTAGAGCTTTAATCAAAGTGCCCGCAGAGTCTAGGGTATCAGTGTCCCCTCTCTTCAAAATGGCAGTGGGGATGCTTTATCTAAAGCTCATTGAACAACCTTTAGTTAAAGCACCCTTCTGAAGCACAGGAGGCTAGCCGGAGTGCGCTAATTCATGAGACACGGAGGCTAGCTGGAGCGCGCTAATTAGCATGCTCCTGCAGACTTGATTAATTGAGTCTGCTCCAACACACTGTAATTACAGCTCATCAGAGCAGCCTTCTGGCTCATGTACAGGCCCCCTAAATGTATCTGCCTGTCAGAAATCGATTGTCCAGCACTAGAGTTTAAGAAAGAAAGAAACAACCTATTAGTACTGGTGGGTGGATTTGATTTCCTTGAAGAATCAGAGCGAGGGTGTCAAAACTCTTCAGAGTTGGCCCAGCCGTGCTTCTGAGTGACATTTCTATTCACTCAGAAAGGTCATGGACTTCAGTGGGAGCAGAGTTTATACAGTGCGGACCACTTTTAAGCATGCTGCCCACCGTACTCTGTTCCGCTCCTTTGATGTGTTTGGCACATCCCCAGCTTCAGGCCCCAGTCAGCACACACATCAGCATCTGCTGAATAAGGAATTTGACTGCTTACATATTAACCGGATAACCTTCCTGCTCTGCCGGAGTGCTGAACTTTCATCCCGAAGAGTGAGAAATTTGCACATCTCTGCCAACCTGTTGCACAAGTTCATTCAAAATGCCAAACAGCACCTCACCATGTCCAGACAGTGGTGAATGCTCAATCCTGAATGTTGATTAGCAAGTGATGGGATGGGTGGGGGGAACTAGGGGCACTTGTACACGTGACAAAATTGGCCTTTAAAGCAGCTTAATTGCCCTTTCTAGGATCTCCACCCTATTCCTGGAGAGCGGGGGAGGTAGTAAATTCATTTCTCACCCCATTACCAATGAGAGTGCACATACTTACACTTCCAACAGTCTCTCTACCTTGCAACACACACATGTTAGCACAATCTCTGCAAAGCCACCATAAGAATATTCAGATGTCCAGTAACATTGCTTATCTCACCTGTGTCCCCTTCTATCTCACTAGGCACAGGGGCACATAGGATCACAAGATATCTGTTTCACATCCACTGTCCTTGGCCTTGGAGCAGAGCTGGACCCTTTCTCCTTTTTCCTTTTATCTTGCTGCAGCTGTGTTGCCCGTATAACATTTTGGCTTGCCATATCTTGTATCTGTAACTTCCAATTTACACTTTTCAGAGCAAAGACACAACACTGCTTACACACTTTGTGTTGCACAAACTGCTTAATCATTAGGCTCCCTAGGTTCTACTTCTATTAGAAATATTCACAGTGTTTCTAGCACAGGAAGTTAATTTTCTCTGCTACTGATTTCTTATTGGACCAGCAATAAAAGTTATTTTACTTAACCACCTCAGACATCCTCTGAGATCAGATGGCAGCTCTCTCTCAAGGTTGCCATATTTCTCTCTGCTATAAAGCAATCATTCTTAAAATTTCATTCTCACTCTCTCCTCCACTTATCTTTCTTTACTGTGTGTTTCTTTACCAACTTTCACTCCTTATTAATCAGTGATTTTTTAACTCTCCAGTATAAGGTCGCCATTACAAATGATCTAGGGTCCATCATAACCCTGTCTGAAACCCATCACTGCTACAAAAAATGCTGATCAAGGCTCCCATATTAATCAACATTAGGGGGTTTTCATATTTCCCTTATTTCCCACTAAACTTGAATGGTTGGGCACCCCTGGTAGTCAAAACAGACTCATCCTACTAGCCCCTTGGGTGCTTGGGGTGTAGGGCTTTCCTTCCCTATGGTGAATTGGAAGGCACTGAAGGCTGAACTGACCAACGTGGGTCTGGCTTTGCCCCTCCTGCCAGCTTTTTGCATTCAAATGAGCTGTATCAATCTCTGTGCTGCTTTGCTCTTTAACTTCCCACCTTTGTTAACTCATTCCTCTCCTCTGCTGTTGTCTTTTGTATAAAAGCCATCTGCAAAGTTTCAAGAGACATCTGACAGTGAGGATTTTTCAACTCCTTAACCTGTTTCTCTCTATCAAATTTCACCTCCTCCACAGATCAGTTTTGCTGACATCAGCTGTAGGGGAACAGCAACATCGTGCTTAATTGTTACAACTTGCCCAGGATTAATCTGATCAAGAATTAACTCTCCCTAGCATCCATACTGCAATTTGCCAAGGGGCAAATCAGGACATAGTGAGAAGCTACCCCAACGACCCAACTCCCAGAGATTACCATTGCCCATTGGCTGTAGTTCCCAACTCGATACCATCAACCTGTCTCTGACTCCTGGCTGCATTTGCAAACTCTAAGCTAATCGCTTCCACTTATCCCTGTCCTCCTGCACATTACTTAGCTGTTTCTAACCCTGGTCACATTTCAAAGCCTCCTCTGCTTTTTGCTCTATTGCCTTTTTAGAAGTTTCCCATAAGAGCTATAATGCTGGTCCACGCTGCTGTGCAGGGGCCGTTTGTTTATACAGCAAGCAATAGCCTTCAAATTTAGTTTCTAAATCTGGAACTTCACAATATCACTAATAGCTCAAGAAGTCCATGGATTGTGACCATGTTCCCATGAAAGTTACGTCAACATGGAGGGGTCGTCCACATCCCCCAGTGACGAGCTCAGGGAATCCAACCCCTTACTTTTATTCTTTTCCCAAAACTTACTCAGATTGGCCTGTCCCTATATCCTTCAGGACAACAACCACAAGGTCTGGATCCAAAAAGAAAATGCAGCCCTCCGGGATCCACCCACAACCGTGGTCCAAAAAAGCGGCTCTCCAGGAATCTAACCTACAACCGCAATATCCACTGGCCTGTGAAAATCATGTCATTTATATATAACAGATGACAGACAAGGAAGTTCCAATATGAAGGCTTACTGCCTATCTCAGGTGCCCTTATCTTCTTCCAGTCCCACAGAGATGACGCCAAAGTAGAGGCAGTAGCACTTCTCCCCAGTACGCTTTCTACAATTGCTAAGGAACAGGTTAGAAATGTTTGCATCGCATGGCCAAGTCAGCAGAGAAACCCCATAAATTCACAGAAAACATTTGAGCCATCTTGATCCAAGTACCTTGATCCATCATTACCACCACACTTCAGACTCTGAAATAAGCCTTCCCTACATGACAAATGGGTGATATGAGTTACTAGCCATCTTATTATTCTAAAGGAACTATAGGGAAGCTTATGCACCTTGCTCAAAGGACACACCAAATAGGCAACTACAAGATCTGTACATCTGGGGATGCATGTTGAGTCAAGTTGGCACATTTTCAGCTGACTGTTCTCTGTTGCCCCCAGGTCCTTTTCTGCAGAGCTGCTGCTCAGCCAGTTGGTCCCCAGCCTGTACCGGTCCATGGCATTGTTCCATCCTATGTGCAGAACTTTACACTTTTCCTTACTGAACTTCCTGCATAATCCACTAAAGCACTAAAGGAGAGAAAAGTCATGATCAGAGAGTGTCATAGAAAGGTTCCACAGCAGAGGAATAGGAAACTCAAATAAAGCTATTTCAAGCAGATATGTATATTACTTGTCTCAGTCTCTCCCCACCACCCCACTTTCTTTACTCTAATTCTGGACAACAAAGGCTGGAAGTACCACTGGTGCAGAAGTACCAATGGTACCACTGCCTGGACTTTGTAGCACAGTGCAGGTGGTTTTATGCTGCTTAAGCCATATGAATACTAAACACATGCAGATCAGCCTAAGGATCCTACTGCAAGTATCAAATGGGTAAGCATGCCACTTCCTCTTCAGCTCTTCTGGATTTGACTCCACAGGCCTGAAAACCAAGGGGTGTTTGGCCCCTGGACTTTGTAGCACAGTGTTGGTGTTGCAGTCCCCCAGGTAGATTTTCATGGTACCCCAGTTGAGAACCATTGTCTCAGACCCCTTCAGCCTGAGAATGTGCACACGGTGGGGAGAAGCTAAAATAAAAACCCCACCTCCCACCTCCAAAGCGAGTACTCTGAATTCAGGGCTAGAGACAACGCTGAGCAACGATCATTCTCCATCCCTCCTATTCAAGATGGGCCACTATGCAGAAAGGAATGCAAGAGTTATGGGGCCAGGATACCAAGCCATGGGAAACTACCCTCTACAGCCCAGTGATGAAAGCACTCCCCTGAGAGAAAGAGAGCCCAGGCTCTGATCCCTGCTTCCAATGGCTCTTTAATACAAATGAATAAGCAGTCCCAGGAGCAAGGACCAGAAACCAGGAGTCCTTGTGGCATCAGCACCCTCAAACATGCTGCAAACTAGAATGACACAAAAGTAGAAATAAACAGAGGCTGAAATTTGAAAAGGGTTAAAAAAACAGCTAAGAACTTATGAAAGCTGTTGAAATTATGACAAAATACAATAAACTAAAGAATGTCAGGCTATTTAATTGACCCAAGAGATACTGAAGAGGTGACTTGTTAAGCTATAATCATCTAAACTAAAAGACACACTATAAAGCGGTCCTTTCATTTTGCTAACACAGTCATACTGGGTGGGTCTACACATTTATTAATGTGCCATAGTTACTGTGCATTAAGTTTAGTACTTGTATAACCAAGTATTAAATCAATATGCAGTAACTGGCACTACTGCACAGTAGCACTGACGCATGGCTTTTTAGTGATGTTAACTGTGCAATAGCCTAATACTAATGCATGGTAGTGTGTTAGCACACTTTTTGCTCCACACGCTACTGTGCAGTAGAATTAGGCTACTGTGCAGTTAGCATTTCAAGTAGACATGCCCAGTGAGAACTCATGGCAGCAACTAGAAAAATTAAACTGGAAACAAGATGCAACTTTTTAAAGAAACATTCAGAAGTTTTCCAATGGGAATACCCTTTTTACAATAAGGGTGGTCAGAGTCTAGAATGGTCTGACAGCTGAAATTATGTCTGTGTGATAAAGGTGCTGGCTGAAGGCTCTATGAAGATTAGACTAAGTGTTTTTCTGTATTTGTTTAGATATTAAGCTATATGTTATTGCTAAAATCCTAATTAAAGTTTAAGATGTAGTGAGGCCTTGTATAAAGTAAGACCTAGTAAATTTAGCAAAGCCTTGAAGTAGTAAGGCCCGATGATCCATTGGGTCCCTTCCGACTCTATAATGTATGAATCTATGAATCTATTAAATTTATCAATGTATGAAATCTTTGGATGAAGTCAATTTGTCTTCTGACACATTTCAGGCCTGATTTTCAGTTATACTTTACCTTTTAACATAGCTCTGGCCTTAACACAACTGGGATTCTAGTCATGTTCTAAGTCAACCACATGAAACTGGGCTCTGCAGAACTCACTTCCAAAAGTTCTCTGCATTTCAGGACTCATAGAATAAAATTTGAATGCTTATATTAAATTAAAGATTAGACTATACAATTATGTAATGGCTTTGCAGTCTATTGATCTTTATTAAACTTTCGTTTATACAATGTAGACATTATCAGCCAACATTATCCCCCAGCTATTTGAGCAACCCTTCCACTAGCAATCAGGTGGGCAAAGGAATGGAAAAGGCTTTTTCAGGGTTACTACAGTACTCGGTAAAAAAGAGCTCATGTTTTACAAGAGGAGGCCAGCTTTTTTATATTAAAGAAAGGGATTTTTAGTGGGAATAAGGTAAAACTGATTATAACTAATCCTTTCACATAATCCTCTCTTCACCCAGAGGCAATTGTCAGGGAACCAGAGCCAAAGAAGGGTGTGTGGAAATAAGTTAACCAGGCCTCTTACTTGACTAAGAGGAGAGACAAAGAGAGAGAAAGAGAAGACAAAAAGATGCTGATGCCATGTGTTTTAAAATGTTCTAAGATAAGAAAAAACCTTCATGTCTTGTTTTGTCTTGATATATTAAGCTCTGTGTGCAGATTTTAAACTCCTCCTCTCCTCCGAAACAGAAGCTGATAACTGTTCCCAAAACACAGTGTTTTTTTCTAAATAAGTAAACTGCTTACGTGTGACAAACGAATGATCAACATCTTTCTGTTTCTCTCAAGGTTGCTTTGTCTGAACCCTGCATCTTTTCTCTCTGTCTAAAGTATAAATATGCTTGTAAACTTGTAGAGGTCAGAGTTCCTTTGAGAACTCTCCCTGTGATCACTTGTATAGCTTTAAAGAAACCTAGATGGCTCTGCCAATTCTAATACAACCACCACGCAAAGTTTGATTCCTTCCACAGGTGTTCACACACTTGTAGAAGTAATGAATTTGTGTGAGATGTCTGTCATAGTAACTAGTGGAAAGCCTGTCCAGTGACCCTGTGGGATAGTCGCTAGTACTGAGTAAAGCTTCAGGTACTGATTCGATTCGAAGGGGATTTGCCCTGGTTTGGCTGCAGAATCTACAAATCAGAATTGAATTGGGAAATCAAAGAAAGGTCCGAATCAATTCAAAGCTCTCCGAATTGATTCAGAAAAGATTCAGAAAGCTTCAGAGAGCTTCAGATATTTGGGCAGTCCCCTCTTGCTGCCTCAGGGAGCTGGACCTGCACTCTGTGCCGGTAAGTAGGGGGAGGGGGCACGTTGCAGAAGAGGGGAGGGGATCATGGGGAGACCCTCACTAGGCCCCATCCCCTGCCTGACACCCCAGCTACCCTGAGCACCCCCTGACCCCTGCCTGCTTTCCCAACCCCTTCAATGACTGCCCCTGCCCCACCCAGGCCCAGCATCCTGCTGCCCCCCATTGCTTCCTGCTGTGGGGGGACTCTGCCATGAGCCCCCATCCCCTGCCTTCTCTCCCAGGACCACCAATACCTGCCCCTCCCTCCCAGACCCAGACCCAGCCTCAACATCCTGATTCTTTAAAAAAAAAACAACAAACCTCTACTCACTGGCTGCAGCAGCAGCCATCTGAGGTTGTGGGGGGCCCTGGGGGAACCCCCCCCGTAGGGTGGGGCAGGG